TATAAACCAAATTTTGGCCACATTATAATCATTTCGTAGTAATCTATTCATAATCTAAGAATCTTAATTTGGAATACTACAAAATCTTAACTTGGAAACTATCAAATCTCATCTTTGATAAATTTTTGGATATCTTATACTTAAATCTCGACATCTTTTTTTTTTATCATTCTCGACATCTTTTAAACATACAAAAAAGCATATTGTCATAAATGGTAACATTTCGTCAATACTTTCTTTATCACATTGAAGCTTTATTTCAGGTTCAAATATTTCACGGGTAAAACGTATTCTTATTCGAAATAGTCCCAAATTTGAATTAAAAAAAAATTCTTACATGTTTCGTTTTACACAAACGGATCTTGGATCCCAAATAATAATTTTAATCATAATAATTTTACTTAAATCACTTCATCCCGCACATAGTGCGGGTTGTTATCTAGTCTTTTGTATATTTTCATAAACACACATAATTCATGTTAATCTCTTTTTCGTTGATCTCTTCCCTTTAAGTGTGAAGAACAACAAGTCCCTCTCGCATTAGCCTCTGAGTCAAAGAGTTGTTTCTCCCCTCTCCTATCATCATCATCATGTGGTGCAAGAGAAAACATTATGTGGACACAACAACCATATCTCTAAATCCAGAAGCTCTAATATCCGGTCTATAAAACTAAATCAGCCACAAATAAATATAAACATACAGTATATATATGCCAACATCACGTTAAAATAAAGTTCGTTACCAAACCAACAAAGAGAAACCCAAATCTTTTTCTTGCCACGACCACCTCCACCGTTATTTTATTTCTGTCAAAGGGACTTCATTTTTATTGACATTTTTAGAAGTTTAGGTGGACACAAACACAAAAAGCTAATCCTTATACTCGAAAAGAACAAGCTCTTGCTTTTGAGATATGGCTTTCAAATCGCAGTCCACTCTATTTGGCGGGAAGGAATCAATTGACGGCACAGAGAAGACCCTTTACTAGCACAAAAACTTGAGAAAATCATCGGCAAGAACGTTGGTAATCGGATCACTATGCTTTAGAACTCCGGAAACACGAAATATGAAGATCTTTTCATATTTTGGCTTTCTACTCGGCTTAAGGTTGTAAGCTTTAAAAGGTTAGAGGATTTAAAAACTGCACTTGATGTAACAATAGTTTTTTGATTAATTAATTTTACATTCATTTAAAAAAATAATATCCACCTTTATCATTGAGGTCTTACCATATGACGCATTTGCGCAAAAAAAGTAAAAAAAAAAAAAAAAGAGAGCATTATGACAATGCCAGATTGCCAGAAGGACATTCTCGTCTAGTAACGGACCTTTTGGGAAAGGCAGCTTGGTTTGGAGATATGCAACCTTAGAGAATAGGTTTGACACAATGATAGATCAGATAGCAACAACTTATGGGTCTATAATCTCCAAGTTTGCAGTAACTTATGGGTTTAGATATTAGGGCTATCTTTGTAGTAACTTAGAGAACTTACCAGTTTATTCGAAATGACATTAAATTCACATAATACTAAGCGTCGACCAATATTAAGCCCCTCCAAAACACAAGGTTTTAGTCTTAAGTCACTTTGTAACTAAAATTAAATTCAATATTAAAACGACGTAACCTGCCATTTATTTTTGTAGTGACATTGTAGCACGATAATCCCAATCTACATTAATTCTAAAATCCTTCATACTGTATTAATACAAGTATGAAGTATAGTATAGACTCACTCGTTTTTACTTTTCATTTTTCAAAGATGAATGAATTATACACCACAAGAATTTTCAACAAAGTCAACAGAGATAGTACGCGTTTGCAATTTCTCCACCATAAAAGGCTTTATCCAAACACGTCTTTGTGATCTTTAACCCTGAATTTTGAATTCTTTCAAGTAACTTTTGTAAAAATGATTCTATTGTATGTTATGGGTTGTGATGAATTAGAGTTTATAAATAACAATTTTTGAAGTACTGATCAAAATTTGTTGTGGTTCAATTCATGTTCTGTTTGAGGGGTTTTGGAATTCTGCATACTGCTTCCTCCACCATTCGGAAAACGTTAGAGTACTAACACAAGATATTGCAGAACGGGAAGGAATGTTTAATGCCAAATCATTAATAGGCTTATTGTAATCATTCCAAGCTGCCTCCCGTGAGAGGTTGTTCCTGTCAACAAGGGAAGGAATATCCTGAAGCATTCCAAACTGTGTAGCCACTCTATTTGGGAAGTAATGCTCCACTTTCTTAATGCCAACAAGCTCAGAAACTTTGATGCATCGAGCAAAGGAGATAAATTCTTCATCAAGACTCGGACAAACAGTAACACACATCGCTTTCTCGGGGTAAAACTTAGGAAACTTCCAGTTTGTCACAGTTCTTGTGTAGGGACGCCACTCAAAACTGTCCATTTTCGAGTTTTCCAAAATCTGCTTCACATCCCTGGTTTGCTGTTTCAAGTCATCCCAAAGCCCCAATCTTGGCTGACCTTGTAGCAACTTATTAGGTTTTGGTTGTAGTTCCCTAAATCTTTCCCATGTCCAAACTTGAACCTCCTTAACAAGGCACTCAAATGAGCATGTGGCGATTC